ATCCCCTCCCTCGCCCTGGGACTTTGCTGCGGCATTTCTATACGGGGGCAGCTTCAGAAGTTTGCAAAAGCATGTCTTTCCACTTAAAAAAATAAATAAATAAAGCTCGGCTGCCTTTCAAACAGGCTCGTCCCCTCGCAGGGACCGCGCCGCTTTCCGTGCTTCGGGCCAACCTCAAATGCAAACTTCCAAATTGAATTTCTCCGCACTTCCGCAGCAAACCCCCGACATTTGTTTTGAATACAACCCCCCACTCCTTGCCGCTTCATCACAGACCTCTGGCGCTTCCAGGGCCTTCGGAGCCAGCAGCGCTGCCCTCGGAGCGGGCGGCCAGGCAGCCTTCGTGCCTCCCCCCTGCCTTGTACTGAGGCTTTTCTGGCCGTTTTTTGCCACTCAGGGGCTTCCCTAAACCAGCAGGTGGCTGAGGTTGGGGCGGGGGGATTTAAGGGAGAATTTGCGATTTTTTTTCCTCGCTTCAGGATTTTTTTTGCCTGGGTAACTGCGCTGGTGCTGTCCACAGCTTCGGTGCAGAGCCGCATCATGGGACGAGTGTCCCCGTCCCCCTGCCTGTCTGGCAAGCCGCTCCATGCCACAGCAGCCTCCCTCGGACCCCCCTCCAATTTTTTTGATCCTCTCTGAGACTTTTAGCTTGTCACTGGTGGAGAAGCTGTGGGATCTCAGCCCCTCTTCGCTGTGGCCGGAGATAATTAAATCTTTCTGATCTCATTGCGGCATGGTGATTTGTCTATTTACTTTTCCGGGTGATGCCATTCCTTTGGGAATTACAGCACGCCGGGGGCCTATTTCCCTCCAGAGGCTGTGCCTGCTTTGGGGAATGTCCCGGCTGTCCCGTGGTGCCACCGTTTTTGGCCAGTTTCCCCAGTTGGGGATCCTAGGGATGGGGAACTGTCCAAGAGCTTTTCAGAGCTGGCTTGGTCTTCCCAGTGCAGCCGGCAGCCACCGTGCTGTAGCACCTGGCCTGAGAAATGGGTCTAAAGATGTGGAAATGGGGGATGCAAGAGAAAATAAAAAAGGGAAAAAAATGCAACAGATGAAGAATGGAAACTGTCAGGCAGAAGGCCAAAGGGATGAAGAAGTAAAGGCCACCAAGGGCCCAGGGCATGGCTGCCGCTGTGATGGGGAGCACCACCAGAGTGGTTCGTGGTGGGGATGTGAAGCTCATAGCCTTTGCTTCCCAGGGTTGATCAAAGGAAAGAGATGCAAGGGAGGAACTGAACCGTCTGTTTATTAGGCTTTTTAATGCCCAAGGAAACCACCAAACAACAACATTGCCAAAAGCAAATGGAAAGAAAAAGAAACGCAGCAAAGGCAGCGCCTCACCTCAAACCAGAGCCTGGGGCCAGCCCCAGCCTTGGCAGAGTCGACGACACAAACCCAACAGGACAAGCTACACGAACCACGCGGACAGGTCGGCCACCACCTGGTACCGGGTCTCCGTCTGCAGGAAACGACAGGCCCGGCAGAGGTGGATGGCCCATCCGGATGTGGCCACAGGCTTCCGCCCTTGCCGCCCCCCAAAGGAGGGCT